TGTTACTCTGTTTTCCCTGCAGCTTTCTCATTATTGCTGAGCTACACAAGTGTATGATTTAATGCACTTCGTTTTACGTGACACTGTTTGCATTTACCTTTATTGAACAAAGAATTCAAAAAAGAATGTACCCATTTATCCAAAGGACCAAAATGAATAATTTAAAATCATTCAAACTACTTAATGGCTTCTAGATAATCAACTTTAGTTGCCATTTCATATTGGAAACAGATCAACAACTGAAATAGCAAGAATAAAGTACTGGTAAATATTGAAAAAAGGATCCAACCCCATGTCCAACAAGTGTGAACAATGTCATGTAAAATGCAACAAAAGACAAATATACCAAAAAAAAAAAAAAAATCTCCATTTTCACCGAAATAACATCCCTTTTCAAAAAAATAATAATAATAATAATAATCTTGTCGTCTTATATCTATCGGAATTTAAGTTTATATATTGACTACTTAAGAATATATACGCAGTCACCTCACTTCTAAGATAATTACCAATAATTTTTTTTCTTGAAAAGATTCTGATAATACAAATAAACATAGTACTAACTACACGGACAGTGTTATAAATAGAATTGTATTTAAGGTGAATGTCTATATTTTAGAAAAAATTTAGGGTTTGTTACTTGGTGGCTAAGTCACTTTTCCCCTATAAATAGAGGAGTTCTATTTCATTGTAATTAATCCCAAAATCAATAAGTATTCTCTCTCTACTTTTCTCTGCAATACTCTTCTTCTTCTCTTATTGTTTTATAACACGTTATCAGCACGAGACTCTAATAAATTGAGTAGAGGCTTTGGAATACGTGCATGGTGCTCAACTTGTACATAATATTGAGCATAGTGATAGTCAATTGTTCCATGAACTTCCTACATGAATAAATTTTGGATTTAAGATAAATATTTTACCTTATTTTTCTCTTTTAAATTCTTGAAATTCTATATTTTGATTTTAAATACAAGCAAAGATAATAAATGTTGATTATAACTCCAACGGAGTTTGTAAGAAATTATAACCACCCAAAGTGGTAAAATTTCTATGCATTGTCATGATCAAATTCATGTATGATTGTGGGCATAAAAAGTGGAAACTCGTCCAATTGAATTTGTTTCATTCTTATTCCCTTAAGAGAATATGGTAGCAGTATGTGATAAGTCTGAAAGAACACAAAATTATTACCATGAAGGTATCACTATATGGACGTGGCAATAGACGAAATTATAATCGTCATCATTGTAGTAATGAGAACAATAAGATTCTCAAAATAATCCTTCATCATGTGAAACTAATGTTTGTCATCAATTTGACATGAGATTTCGTAAAGCACATATAGATAATTATGGTCCATTCAAGGTGTGAATGTGACAATATGTGATTTATGAATACGTATTCATTCTTGAAAGAATATGAACGTACTAATGGTAGTGAATATACCACACTCACCTCCAGAAGGAGGTTTGAGATGATATAAGAAAATAATGTCACTATTATGGCATGAATGATCATTGGTCGCGTACCTATTGTACGCCAAATTATTTTGGCAATGTGATTATTAAAGGACAACTGTAATGCAAGAAACAGATCTTGCATATAATTTTGATCATGACCATAATTCTATAACTTTCTCTTTGAAAGAGATATTCACCATATGGATGTTGATGAATATGTGGTAGTATAAAATTAATTGAGAACTCTAGAAGAGTCAATTATACTATTTTGGAGAAATACAATTGATTACCAATAAGGTATTGTGACGCAATATGTCTCAAAGAAACTTATTGAGTTTCTAAAGTATTCGCAAAAGCGATTGGTTATATTGAGACTATAATAAAGGAAATATTCAATATCTTCTATTACTACAACTTGTAGCGGGGTAATATGTATATGAAAAGCTGCCCGCTTTATTCTCCGATTTATACTACACAAATAAAGGAATCCACAATAAAGTAGAAGTTTGTTGATATAAAAAACCTATATCATAATAAACTTGGAGTTTATTGATAATTGCACACGTCATGGTGTAAACCTGAAGCTTATCAATATTGATAATTTATCCAGTTGGCATAACTAGTTTAGTCATATGAGTTTAAGTATGATGTGCAAAAATAAAAGAGAACTCACATGGGTTAATATTAAAGAACTAGAGAGTTCTTTATATAGACCAACTAAAATTGGGATTGAATCCCATAAATGCTGGAAATATCAAAGGTGAATATTGGCTCATTCACCTGCCATGTATATCACCTAAGATGCATCTATGAGATGGTTACATGTGTGATTATTATTAACCTGCAACCTAGTGTTTGCGAGGTAACTTGCTCAATAATTTTAGAGCATAATTTTCAGACTTTCTATTCAATACAGTTCATCTTGATAAGTTGGTTTAAATCACAGTTGGTTTAGCAACACGATTTATTGAGTGTCTCCACTTAATAACTAAATTATTGCTTATGAGAAGAAAGTAATCTATATCAATTTGATATTCGTTATATACGAAAGTATATTACATTCTCCCCTTATAAGTAGTTCGGGGTCAGGAACCAATAATTTTTTATTAAGTATTATTATTGATGTGCGGTGTATATTTTGATTAACACTATAATGCACAAAGGTGAATTTTCAAAGTTGAGGAAGCAAGTTAGTTTTTCTAACATGAGGGGGAGACATGATAAAAGTTACGTGGAATGCATTTGTACATCTAGATCCTCGAATAGGATAATATGAACTTGAAGTTCATAAAAGGATAATTCACCTACAATATACTACAAAGCATGTCAGAAGCATTTATTGATCCAAAGAAAGTAGCTATATTCTCACTGCAAATGCTCATATTAGAATAAGTCCTACAAGGGCAATGTCTATAGTACGCTTAAAGCGTATAGACCAATCGGTTTCAAATAAAATTCTTGATAAAGAAGATGAGCACATGATCAAATTGATCATAATAAGGAGGCAAGTGATCTAGAAGATCACATGACATAACACTTCATAAAATCTTAAGAGAGATTGGGGTACCTGAAAATATAAATGAAGAGATCTCTATGTTATGTCTTTATGGAAAAAAAGAAGAAGTTTGGAACCGATATAAAATATTCGTCGACGACATCTATGATAGCGCTAAGCATAGGTGAGGATCGTAAGTATATCGCCTACAGACACAAAAACATTGGCCAAATAGAAGAGACACAATTCAAATAGAATTGGTTTCATATGAAAGACATGTAGTTCAAATACTTGAAAGTATAAAGTCAATTATATGTACAATCACTTCTATCTATCTTATATGTCTAGCATGACATGATAACTTGATATGTATTTAAAGTCGATTTGTATGGCTTAGATGACAATCTCTGAAGGATTTAAATCGCTTAAAGCATATACAATTCTTGGTCTTGAAGTACCGCATCCTAAGTGCAATTTATGCACATAAGTATCTTACTATAACTATAAGCATGATAATGTGATAGCCAGAATTTTTACCTCTATGGAGATATTGAATATGCCATATGAAGACATTATATATCTATCAAGAATGATGATTTCAAGGTGCAACATAATCATTCAAGCTAATATGGTTGATTTGTTTATCAAATCTCTACCAACGATCTTTTGAAGATGGTGCACAAGATTGGAATGCGAGGGCTCAAAGATGTAAATTGATTGTCTCATCAGGGGGAGTTAATACGTGTTGTACTCTTTTTTCTTACAAGGTTTTGTCCCACTGAATTTTCCTTTCAAAGTTTTAACGAGGCAACCAAAAGGCATATTGTTAGATATGTGTACTCTTTTTCCTTCTCTAGAATTTTTTCCCACTGGGTTTATTTTAGTTAAGATTTTAACGAGGCACATTATCTATTGAATAGACATTCAAGGGGGGGTATTATAAATAGAATTGTATTTAAGGTGAATGTCTATATTTCAGAGAGATTTTAGAGTTTGTTACTTGGTGGCTAAGTCACTTTTCCCCTATAAATAGAGGGGTTCTATTCCATAGTAATTAATCCTACAATCAATAAGTATTCTCTCTCTACTTTTCTCTGCAATACTCTTCTTCTTCTCTTATTGTTTTATAATAGATAGTTAAAAATATAACTATTCCTCATAGGTAGTTTGGTAGAGTGCATTAGAAAAAATAATGCATGCATTAACTTTGTATTAGTAATACCCTATTTGGTACATTTTTTTCAACCTATGTATAACTAATACAAGCATTAGTACACACCCTATTTGATATTATCCTATTTATAATAATGCACTACAAACCATGATATTAGCAATACCAAAGTTATTAATACATGCATAAGCTTAGTTAAAGACCTAATTGTCCCTCAAATTCCTCAAAACCTTTTGCAAATACTCTCTGCCATGTTTTCTATATCTTTTTATATTGTAATATTGTAATATTTTAATTAATTTTTTCCCTTTAATATTCTACTATAATAACAAAAAATCATATTTATGTACAAAATTTGATTTTGAATTCGGTTAAAGTATAAATTAAAGTTTTCTTTATTTGTCAAAGATCTACCTATTTTTTTAATAATTAATATTTTTTTATTATAAGTCATAGCAATTAAATTTTTCTTCTCTTCTAATTGGCTTTAAAGAGAGTAAAGAATGCGAAGGATAATAAAATTATTGCAATAATAATAGTGTACAGAATTAAAGAATGTAAAGGATATTTTTGTAAACCACCAATTTTTAAAAAAATTATGCTATGCTTTAATGCACCAAACCAATTAGTTGATACTCCTTCTGGTTCACAATAAGTGTCCAATTTACTTTTAGCACGCCCATTAAGAAAATATTAATTTCTATACAAAAATACCTACTATGACTAAACTACCCCTAATTAAACATTTAATGTGAGGAGTAAGAAAACTTTTTAGGGATATGTACATAGGGGTTATTTTGTAAAAACAAGTTGAATTCTTCTTGATTACATAACTGGACACTTATTTTGAACCAAAATGAAAAAGTAAATAATCTCAGCCTAACTAATATCAGCATAATTAATCCCATACTAATACATCATATTCAGCACTATTGATATACCTCCTACCAAACAGCCCCCAGGTATAGAAATCTAGTAATACAAGCATACAAAACAAAACTTTACAGAAATCTATGAAACATCCACAATTTGGATAATCAGGCCAAAGGAATCAAAACCATAAAACTTCAATCAATTGCAAGAATATTTCCCATTAAATTCTCAAAATTGTTCCTCCCAACCCTAATCAAAATTTCCACAATCTACCCCTCAACCAAACTCTAGATAATTGAGCGCAATCCTATTAGAAACAAAGGATTACAACAGAGGACGAAACCATGAACCCATAAATGAAAATCAAGAATCCAAAATGCAAAGCCCAATTCCTCTTAAACTTACCAAAATAACTCTCTGGTGGTTCTTGATAATGTATCTCAAATTCATCCCCAATTTCCTCAACCCCACCATTCCCAATTCTCATCTTCAGTTGCCTTAGCCTTTCAGTAGCCAAGCCCAATGTCAGCTTATGACATCTCCTTTGGTACTTAAACCCATTAATGCATCTCAAAGTTTGAGCCACAGATACATAGAAAATCAGATGGGCTAAAGAAAGAAGCCCAATGGGTATCCAACAATGGCGACATTGGAGCTTAGGGGAAAGAGCTTGACCCAAAAAGACTAAAGCCAAGAAAAGGAAGAAAAGCTGAAACATTCGCCAGAGTTCTTTTTTTTGTAAATCTACAGCTCTTTTTTTCTCGAGGGTTTTTTCGAAATGGAGTTGGATTATGGTGTTGATAGCTTGTAGAGCTGTTTCTTTTTGGATGAGACTTGGGTGGTGGGTGGTGGTGGTTACGGCGTCGTATTCCGCCATCGGAGAGTGTGGAGAAGAAGCTTTGGAAGAGTTAAAAAAGAGAAATGGGATATTTGGAGTTAAATGGTGGGGGGTGACAGAGGATACTGAGGTAGGGCATGTGGAGGATAGTTAGAATATCAAGGTATAATTTGATACTGATATTTCTGCTTATTGTTGCAACGGTAGGGAAATGTGGTAGGGTGGGATGGGGCCCATGCTGCATTGGATTTGGAAGAATTTGTAACTTTTGCAGGGGAGGGGTGGAAATTCTAAGTTAACTTTTTTCATAGAGATCCGTTCGGGCTCCACAATATATCGTTGGAAAACTATTTCAAAGAGCTACAACTTTCATGTTTTACAGTTTCTCAAATTCCCAACAGTTTTTCACGTAATACTTCTAGAAGACTGACCTTCTATAAACTTAGTCGATTTTATCGAATCTTATGCACCTCACGCTCTGTCTTGATTCCAAGATGTAACTATTTTCACACATAATCATCCCGATAGGACTTCATATTTCTAAGATGTCACATTAATACTCATTTAACATGTCCACACCTAGTCCAAATTTACGGAGTGTTATAACATATATATATATATATTATATTATATATATATATATATATATATATATATATATATATATATATATATATTGTGGCTACCAAATATAAATAGTTCCGGTCCTAGACTAAAAGTGATCTTTGCCCAAAAATAAATAAACAAACACTTGACTGTCACTGGACCTCTTTTGGACTGCCGTCTAACCATAAGGTAATAGTTGGATCAGTCTCATGCTCGGGGGGGGGGGGGGTTGGGGGTTTGCATCTATACCCGCTTTTTGGGTCACGTTTTAACTTGTGCCCGCTTTGCAAAAAAAATTGCAAGCGTACCCACTTTTTCGCGTAACTTCAGCATACGGGGCTGAAGTAGCAAAGGCAATCACGCAAAACTTCAGCATTCTAGTAGACGGGACTGAAGTAGCAAGTGTGCTCAACCAAGTGTGCTGAAGTTTTTGTTTGTAATTGCTGAACTTAAGCATAGTAGCTGACGTTTTGTTCTCTATTTGCTGAAGTTTTTGTTTGTAATTGCTGAAGTTTTTGTTTTTGTAACTGGCGAACTTCCGCTCTAAAGCTGAAGTTTTTATTTTGTAACTGGCGAACTTCCGCTCTAGAGCTGAAGTTTTTGTTTTGTAACTGGCGAACTTCAGCTCTAGAGTTGAAGTTTTGTTTTGTAACTGGCGAACTTCAGCTCTAGAGCTGAAGTTTTTGTTTTGTAACTGGCGAACTTCCGCTCTAGAGCTGAAGTTTTTGTTTTGTAACTGGCGAACTTCAGCTCTAGAGTTGAAGTTTTTGTTTTTGTAACTGGCGAACTTCAGCTCTAGAGCTGAAGTTTTTGTTTTGTAACCGGCGAACTTCAGCTCTAGAGCTGAAGTTTTTGCTATTTATTACTATGAATCCACAATAATCTTCAAAGCGGGAATCACATCGTATGGCAATCCACGACGATTTGCAAAGTGTGAATTCACATCGTATAGCAATCTAAGTCCTTGTGAAATCAAACAGCTAGTATTCTTGCCAAATTACTTGTCGCGTTTGAGTTTTTAGTACTTACAATTAAAAGGAATTCTGAGTAATAGTAAGAAATATTTATTTAAAAGAGATAGCTGAAGAATAAACTTCGTCAAGAATATCTCGACAGCCCATGTCAATTACTGAAACATTTTCACAATCAGCGACTTCAGAAAGGAGTGGCCTATCGGATTGAGGGGGAATATAACTTTGAGGAGGAGAAGGAGGAGGAGAAAGGGGGCTGAAGTTGTTTAAAAAGTGGGTACAAGTTAAAACTTTTAAAAAAATGGGTATAGGTTAAATGGGAGCGCCCTATTTTTACTCTTATGGGTCACCCAATATAAAATGGTTAAGCCCAATATAGCCCTACTATTGAGGGGAAATAATATTCAGTTTAGGGACATGACATTGTTGTTTTTAGAACAGTTACTGACTTTGATGTCAATGTGTCATTTGATCGATTTTCAATATCACTAGAAATTACATGGATAGCTGAATAAGAGGGAGGCCAGGAGATGGATTGATTCCCTTTTTTTTTAGGTCAAAACAGAGTTAATTGTTGTTGGTTAACCTTGGATTTATCTATAGCGATGACAGTTAAGAAGGTAAAAAAAGAAAATAAGAGAAGGCTTAACAAACATACCATAATGGCTTAAAAAAAATGTGCTCTTAAGAGAAGACGCATCGTAGGCCAACCTCGACCTTTTTCGCTTTTGATGGAAAGAAATTTTATATCTCAAAGTGTAAAGGAAAAAGGAGAAGATTAGCTGAGGATATTGTTAATGTGTGATTGTCTTCTACTGTAGAACTTATATAATCATCAAGTGTTAAGATTATCCAGTTCATAGTTCACTAGTGGTAGATTGGTCGAGCGCTAATCAAGAGTTACCTATGGGGAGTTTGAGCATTTTATCTTCTTGATTTTCGAACTTCAACAGGTTCTTAGGAAAGTACAGAGAGCGTTAGAGCATTTTTGCAGGTAAAAATTGGAAATGGTAAGAAGAAATATAAGGTCAAAATTGAAAATTCCATAAAGTGGAGGTGAAAACTATAGGGTAAACTGCAGCATGAATCATTGAACTATTCGAGGTTATGGGTTAATATAATTAGATTAATTGTATAAATTCAATACATATGGATTAAATAAATAAAGTCAATTTCACTGGGCTAGCCCATTTAATTGGACTACATATGATGGACCTACTTTACTAAGCCCAAGATGTCATCTTCCTAGATGCCCAATTTGTGTAGAAGAAGGTGTTACTTAGTCAAGGGTATAATTGTAAATAGCAATATAGTTGGTTAATTATGTTAGTTGTCATTAGAAGTTGGTTAACACTATTAGCTTTCATATAAGTAGTTAGTGGATGTACTAGTGTCAATATACAGAACATTTTTCTGCTTATCAATATACAGAGCTTGTTCTCTTGTTCTCTCCGTCTCTCTCATCTCCAAATCTAGGTATCTCCATTGTTGATCTTGTTCAAACTTGACATGGTATCAGAGCTTTTAGCCACAATTGTGAGCTAATTATCTTCGACTTTGCTGTCAATTGTTCGATGGTAGAATCCGATCTCGAAAATTCTTCGATCTCAACAATGGCGAAACCAGATCTCGATCACAATCACATTTTGTATCTTCATCCTTCAGACACTACCGGAGCGCCGATAGTCTCAATTCAGTTGATCGGAACTGAGAATTACTCTGTTTGGAGCCGTGCGATACGAATCCAGTTGTTAGGAAAGAACAAATTAGGGTTGATCGACGGAACTCTGAAAAGAGATAATTTTGAGAAGGATCTAGGTCATCAGTGGGACAGGTGCAATGCAATTGTGCTTGGATGGATAATGAGTTCTGTTTCGAATGAGTTGTTAACAGGCATAGTGTACGCAAAAGATGCATATCGTGTCTGGGAAGATCTGAGAGAGCGTTTTGATAAGGTCAACGCATCTAGGGTTTATCAGCTCCACAAATAGATTGCAACACTTTATCAAGGAACAAACAGTGTTTCTGTATATTTTACCAAACTCAAAGAGTTATGGGATGAGTACGAAAGCATGACTCTCCAAGCTGTGACTGTAGGAGATCTAAGGATTTCAATGAACATTTACATAGACAAAAACTAATGGAATTTCTGATGGGACTTAATGAGAATTATGAGCAGGCAAGGAGTCAAATCCTTATGACTAATCCCACTCCAAGTGTTAGCAAAGCGTATTCCATGATAATTGAGAGAGAGAGTAAGAGATCATTTTCAAATGTATCTGTGGTAGGAGAAGGATCAGAAACCACAGCTTTTCTGTCCACGAAAGGAGGCAGTTATCCAAAACCTAAGAAGAATTGGAACATTCAGTGTGATTTTTGTAAGATGAAAGGGCATAGTAAAGAGAACTGTTATAAAATAGTAGGTTATCCTACAGACTTTAAGTTCAGAAAGAAAGGACAGGGCAACTCAACTGCCTACAATGCCAATGCAGGGAATGATGCACCAAATGTTCCTGGACCTAATGCGGGTAGAAATAATGATGGAGATGCAACTGCCTTGAATGAGATGCCGAGGCCACCAACGTTTACAACTGATCAATACAATCAGATCCTTAGAATGCTGAACAAAGAGCCTTCTCAGGAAAATATGGCTAATATGGCAGGTACTATTCATTCTTTTATGGCTAGTGTAGCAAAGAAGGATTGGATTATAGATACAGGTGCAACAAATCATATGATATCTGATTTAGATATGTTGCATTCTGTTCGCAAAGCTGATTACTTAAGCAGTAAGATAGTGCAAATGCCAAATGGTCAGGTAACTTCAGTGTCTCATATTGGGGACTGTTTACTTTCGAAAGATGCAGTAATGAAGGATATATTATTTGTTCCTGATTTTCAGTATAACTTGATATCAGTATCAAAAGTAACTAGAGACCTTCATTGCTCTGTTACCTTTTTCCCTGACTTTTGTTTGTTCCAGGACCTCTCAAGTGGGAGGGTGAAGGGGATTGGTAGAGAGAAAGGAGGCTTATATCTCTTTGTTTCTGATGCTGATTCAATAAGCAGAGGACTAATTGTTACTGCAAAGAAAAAGAATATTGATGTTTCATTGTGGCACATGAGATTGGCTCATGCTTCTGGAGGAGCTATGAGGGAATTGCTTGGAGCAGATACTCAAGATTGTAAGAATGTAGTCAATAAGTGTGGGATATGCCCCTTAGCTAAACACACTAGATTGCCTTTTCCTTCTTCAAGTACTAGTAAAACTACTGCAGTATTTCAACTATTATATTTGGATGTATGGGGTCCTTATCACATTCCTACCTTTGATAGTAATAAGTTTTTCTTAACTGTGGTTGATGATTTCTCTCGTGTGACTTGGATTTTCTTAGTGAAGTTTAAGAGTGATGTGCTACTAGTCTTGAGAAATTTCTTTAAAATGGTGCATACTCAATTCAGCACATACAATTTGTGAGGTCAGATAATGGTAGTGAGTTTGTGAATGCTAAATTCATTGCACTCTTGAGGGAATTGGGCATTGTCCATCAGAGGACTTGTGTCTAC